GGGGGGGGGGACCAAGGATTGGGGGGGGGGGGTCTATACAGATTTTCCCAACAGGGAGTGTCTGGTCTGGTTCCCCCTCTGGCCTCACTGCACTAAAAGCCAGCAGGGGCTGTGGTACAGGAGCCCCTCCCTGCCCTGGGACCCACAGAGCTGCCCGAGAGCCCACACTGGTCCCCGGGCGAGACACAAGGACACTGCTTGGGGCTCCTGAGAGCCGGACCCAGGGCTGGAGGAGGGGATGAGGCTGGCAGGTGGGGGGGGGGGAGCTCTCACCACTAGAGAGCAGCTCCCTTCCCCCCCAAGGTCAGGGCCCCAGCTGCAGCAGGTTCCGGCAGGGCAGGGAGCAAGTGAAGCTGGCTGGGCCAGCTGGGCTGGATGGGGTAGCTCCATGGGGCCCTGGCCCCACAGCTGGCGTTTATGGAGCATGAGACCTGAGGGGAGCTTGGCCAGGCCAGACACAGCCAGGGGGCTGCTCTTTATAGATCCCTGTATGCTGACTCCCAGCACCGGTCTAACCACTAGGCCCCACTCCTCTCCCTGAGCAGGGCCAGAACCAGAATCCCAGCTGGAGCCTGCTCCAGCATGAGGGAAGCCTGCAGCGGCAGCCCTAGGGCCCTGGCTTTGCTGCTCCAGTGGGGCTCTTGGGTGTAGGGGCTACCCCACAGGTGTGTGCAGCTTCCAGCCCCGAAGGCAAGGGGGGGGGGGGCGCCACGGCAGGCTCTGCCTGCTACCTCACTTGTCAAACAGGAGTCAGAGCTGGGGAGCAAGTTAGCCACACGCTCCAGCCCGGAAAGTGGAGGCTGCTGATTAGAGCAGGGGGACAGGGAGCCAGGATCCCATCCCTGACTTCTCAAGTGTCTCCAACAGCATCGCTCCCCTTACCGGGCTGGGGGAGACACACTGAGTGGCACTGGATCCCAGAGGTGCAGCTGGGAAACAGCCACACACCCCAGCACAACTCCCCCAGCAGAGACAGCCACCAGTGGGGCCAGGCAGCCTGGGAGCAGACCCTGCAGCGGTCCTGTCGCTTATTGCACGCTCCCTGACTTCTCAAGTGTCTCCAACAGCATCGCTCCCCTTACCGGGCTGGGGGAGACACACTGAGTGGCACTGGATCCCAGAGGTGCAGCTGGGAAACAGCCACACACCCCAGCACAACTCCCCCAGCAGAGACAGCCACCAGTGGGGCCAGGCAGCCTGGGAGCAGACCCTGCAGCGGTCCTGTCGCTTATTGCACGCCACATAA